GCTCCACTGAGATAAGGATTTGTTTTATGAATGAGCTGTGGTGGACTACTGTTGTGAATGAAAGTGTGAAAACGTAAAATTAATTGCCAACGTCCTTCAGAATGAATCGGCGCAAGAGGGAGGGAATCTCGATTTGTTCTTGGCGTAACACTGCCACTATGCAGGGATCCATGTGGCTCTCTGATTATGTGTATATTCCCTTCGTATACTGCACTATGTGTTAGTCGGCATCAGCACGTGGTTGCCTACCTCTGTTTATATGGGTCGTGTCCACGACAAACGACGTTTCTCATCCCCACCCAATTCCCAGGAAATAGCGGTATCTGCGAAAGAGTAAACGGTATGCTTGTTCACCCATATAATGCCAGTGGGATGCTATAAGCTCATCTGACTTCACCGCTGATCAATCCTCCGCGCTTCATTCTCCAAATCATTTTTTTCAATTTTTTCTTTCATTTTTTGTCCAACTCCAGAATGATTTTCCAGCATTTTTTCCATACAGTCTCAATCTTATCACGAAATTTTAATTGTAGGAGAACGATAAGATAGCACCCGAAGTCAACAGATTTCTCACAGCGAGTGACAGACAAGGTTTTTTCGTCATTTGAATAATTGTCATCGCGCGTGTCTCGTTGGGGTGGTGAATTCGCGGCTATTAATTATCGAATTTTACATTTGAATGGACAAGAGTTGACTGCACTCGTTAAATCCGCTCATCATGATTATTCTCAATTAAAAAATTTTCCAATACTCAGTAAACAGGTAATGAGAGTAATGGATATTGATTGAATGATTTTGAAAATAGTGGGAGTGAGTAGATGAAGAGAATACGTGGTCCCTCGGTTTATTGCCCAGAGCCAGCAGATACGTCAAATATACTGGATAATTAGAGATTGAACTCGATTAGTTGATTAATTGCCATTCCCCCTCAAACTGTCGATTGTATCCGTTCAATCAATCTGCGATTCACTTATGAGACGTTGGTCTCTCGGAATGAGAAAATTATTCAGGATCGACAAACCGAACGTACATGCGGAATCCTGAGGAATTGAATCACCGAGATTACTATAGCGAGGATTTTCTGGTGAATTGTGCGGTTGACTAGCCATGATTTGCCGTCATTCACCCACGAAGAAAACCAGAACTCCGTGATATCGCTGATTCTACCCTGAAAATCAACTCCATGGATTGTGGTGTTGAGGATCGGTGATTCTTGAGGGCTGCACAGGAAATTCCATGGTTCGCGGTACGCGTTAATGAACCGAGAGGAAGCTATTCATCCTCGGTTTATGCATCCAAAATATCCAGTCCTTCGTCGTTAAATTTGCCATTTTACTGAATAACCATTTATTTGGCTGATCAAAGCCTCTCCCGTCACAGCTATTCTAATTGCAATGCAATAACGTGATAATTACCGGGAGGTAATTTATGGTCAGTTTATTGGGCCTCGAAGAGTGCAATTTTATTGGCGTTATGTCAGATTTATTCCGTGACACCTGTGATACCGCTCCTGGAAATCTCAGAAAAACACCTGTTACACCGCCATAAGCACTGACATCTCTATCTATTTACGAGTACATACCAAATGCATGTGTATTATATACTCAGGGCTATTTGGGTGCGATTGACCGTATACTTGGGTTTTCTCACAGATTTCCTCTCTATCGACTTGGTTTCACTCTTCAGGGGGCAGCACCTTCCGCCCTTTTACTTCGGGGAGTTGCTTATCGATAAAAAGAATTATTTGCTATTTAGTTTATCGTTACTCACTGAGCATTTCAATGGGCAAGGGCTTGTGGATCCGATTGACTGGAAAAATCGAGTTCTTTATGTTTGGAAAAGTCCACGAGTGCGAAATCATGATTTTCCACTGTTTAATTGCACATATGGTTGCGTGATTTGTTCTCCGGTTTTTTTTTCTTATAAAAAATTTCAGGAAAAATCAGGATGAGTTGTTTAATTTTAGGAATGGCGAAAGTACATGGGTAAAATTACGAGAATTTCGAGGCGCGTCAGGTAGGCGTGGGATTGGATGAATTATATATTTCGTATTGGCTGAGTTGGAAAATATATTGTGAACCGGTTTAAATTTTATTTAATGATAATATTACCCCTCAAAATATTGTGATGTAATATTATTTAATATTAATCCGCGAAAATGTTTGTCCGAAAAATATTGCGAGTCGAGATATTACGATATCTATATAATTTTTTAAAGTATTAGAAATGAAAGGATTATTATAGTGGCTAAATATTGTTGTACTCGATTATTTTTGAAGCAATAATTTGTTGAGTTGCGTTATTTTGATAGGCAACCTAATATATGAGGTACGTATAAAACCCAACACTCGCTACGTATTTCTCTGTGTCAGAGGATGACGTCAGGTCATACTCTGGGTGGGATTTATTCTGCATCAGCATCATTTGGAATTCAACACGAAACAATTACAGTTGATAGGGTTTCTGTACAACACCTGTCTCGACATTTCGTATTTTTAAATCGACCTAATTGCATTAATGAAATTGGAGATGAGTTGAAATGGGAACAAGTGCTCCAAAAATTTGGGAATTAAAATTTAAAAGCTTCCGCCAATTTCGCATACTCCACTTTTGTCGGGAGTTGGAAATGGTATATATTTTTTGTTTTTCATGGTGTAGCATTCGCGAGAAATTGGTCCGCGCAAATAAAAAATGATGGAAAATTGTGGCAACATTTTTTTCAAACTTTTTTTCGGCCTTTATCCAAGATTATCCTTCTACGCTGATCGATCCAGTTTTTATGGACCACGAGAGCAAAATTGCGTAACATTCAATGACTTGTGTTTCGACAGTCGACGGATGACTGGTGAATTATTCGTTTTTCGCAATCCAAAAACCGCGAATTACGAGTCAATAAATGAGGGCTTTAGAAATCCAGTTACAATGACTAGAATGTAAAGAATTTTTAACAGATAAGATGGACACCCACGCAGGAGAGGCCTGGAGGAAATATTTGGTCAGCCATGGAATAAACGAAACGATTGAATATAATTTGTATCGGTATTTAGCTCTTTGGTTGTACCTAGTGGTGTCTGTCTCTACACTTGGAGCAACTCTCAGCGTGACATTGAGCGAAGAAATACGAATGACTCACAGCTAAAGTGGAATTTCTTGAACAGCTCATATCATAGGTAATTCAACGTAAGAAATTGCCAGGAGATCCGTTTAAAATTTCACGGGGAAACACTGACCTGTAAAAATAAATATAACAATTTAGCACCATAATGAACTTTTTTTCTCATCGGTATGAGGGACGACGTAAATCCCCAGTTGGGGTTCATATTGGAGCTACTGTGGGGAGTCAGACGAGGTCGAAATTGCACATTTTTTTCTCTCAACTTTCCTCATCTTTCCCTTTTTCCGTTGCCCGAAGGCCAGACGATGCTTTCTCACTCATGAAATTCACGTTGCAAGCATGAGAAAAGTCCCTAATGGGAAGTCTATACTATCTCTTTTCACGTCGAATACACGTGCGTTATTTTTTTTTTACGTGTGGGGAAAAATGATTTTTTCGCTGAATGCTTCTAGCAGGACAAAAGTACAAACAGCCGAATGTGTACAGATGCGGAAGTTCTGTGTTCTCGTAATTGCAATGACGATTGTTATCGGTAATGAGGCCATCAAGGGCATGCCCATTTTTTTTAATTTCTCAGGCATTGTTTTCAATTCTAGGACATTAAACTGATATTTTAATAAGTAATGAGAAAATTTTTCCACGATAAATGAAATTCCCTGGGACAGGGGACAGTAATAAAACCTGAAAAATTTGAAGACATGTTCTGTAATTCCTCAATAAAATTTCTCATAATGCATAATACTGCCGGACGAATAATAAAATATACGCATTTGAATTTAATCTTAATCGAATGGTGTATGCGAGATACACTTGATTTTGATTGAGTGTGGGCAGTCGACTCTGGCATGGAGCGGATAGGAAACGGGAAGTTGTCCGAGTAATTATTCATGAATCCGTTGAGGAACAGTGGTCAGAGAATAGTACATAAAAAATCTCCCATTCTATTTGTTGCTCTCCTCCGGCGATTAATCACCCTCCACAACGTGAATTTGATCAATTACATAGAATAAAAATTTGCCCACTGCAGAGGGATGCACATAAAGAAAAAGTTATCCAATTTCCGCGCTTACACTGCTCGAGTACTCCCCAATCTACACTTTCAATTCCCAACGAAACACAACGCTCGTACATTCCAAAAAAAAAAATATTTCAAACGAGAGTACCAACAGAATAACTTGAATAAACAACGCCGTTTTTCATTTAAACAAAATTGCATAAACCCCGCATGTTCCAAGAGCCATTAGATTATCTCTCTCCCCAATTTTCTGGTATTTATAAATAAATAAAAAAGCACAGGGTAGCTCAGAGCCCAGAGTCAGATCATAAATAATTGACAGATCAAATGTCGCCATTACCTCAACATCTGCACGCCTCTTTCGAAGGTATTAAATCTCCTAAATATAGACCGTGTGTCTAAAAATAAATGAATCATTGTTTCTAGTTATTAAACGATTAATACACCATGGGAATTATCATGACATGGATACCATCTCGTGCTGCAGAGGAAGATGGCGATATGTATACAGAAGAGAGTGCGATTAACTCAGGGCGCATGCGCCGTCGATGATCAATCGAGGAGGAGGCGGTGCCCGCCCCCCAGTTTAATTTTCACATTTGGAAAAATTTCAGGGAAAAATGAAAAACGTCGAAATGCAGAATGGAGGTAACGGTGGTGTCGTAATAGAGGCATTCAATGAAATTATGATAAACCAATGATACGATTGCTGATGGATCAATTAGTCAAAGGATGCGGAGTGACGATGTACGTCACTGCTGTACATGAGAGAATAAATAGGAGGTTCGGCGCATTGGTTTGTGCGCAGCAGTGGTTTTGTACGTGCATTTAGTTTTGGTGGTGGTTGAGTGAGTGAGGCATCTCGTTTCCACTAGTAAAACACCCTAGTGAGTGTAATGTCTGATAAGACGTACGATGGATATCCGTGAGTGTTGAAAACACACATTTGTGAATAATCCTTTTAGTTTATCATTTGACAGTATATCCGCCCAATTTAATTCGGCATACCATTTGGCATTTTTGATATTCACTGATAAGGCTGGTGTGGGTGCTGGCCGCTGTGGATCAAGAGACAAATTTCTTTTTCTCCATTGGATTTTTTTTTTTTTGCGTGGCTAAAAGTAAGATGCCCACGGAGACATAGGCACTGCTCACTGAATTTTCGGCACGACAGACGATACACACGTACGAACGTGAAATTATTTTTTCAAGGAGGTGATTTTATTTTTATTCGGACTGGTTAATTGTTGTTGTGCAAGTGGATTTTTCTCTTTCTCATTCTGTGGGAGGATAGAGATTTTTTTTTTTTGTGAAGGAGGAGACCTGTAAGGGGATACTCGACTGTGATACAAGGGTCTTTTTGTCCTTGCCGTTTGAGAGAGAATTAAAAAATAATACATCAATAATGGAAGCTGTTGCTAAACACGACTTTACGGCCACAGCCGATGATGAACTCAGTTTTCGTAGGAATCAAGTACTCAAGGTTTGTATCAATTTTTTTAATGCTCTGAAATCGATTATTTGGGAGTTTGGTAATGTAGAATGGACGTAGAATTTAGTGATAATTGTTTTCTTTATAACCGGAAATTATTTCCCAATCGTATAATAATTTTCAACCTGGGAAAAGGCCCGTCAGGCCATGACCGACCCCATGGAATGAGTCAGGTGGTAACAAGTCGATCCGCTTCTCCATCGTTCTCCTTATTTAGCCTTATTGTTCTTTTCCATCAATTTAAATTCGCTTGTCGATTGAAAGCATCGTTGAATGCGTCGAGCGTTCATTGGTGCATTTACACGCATTCCAATAATATTATTCGAATCACATTACCCTGGCTGGTGTTCTGATTCAAGCAACCAAAGGCCATGTCTTTGTTTGATTGCTTTTCAACTCTTTATTTTCACTGATAAAATTCAATGTAACACTTTAGTTTTGTTTAACCAATTCATCCTTCAAGTCTGGCTCGCTGGATGCTAGTGTCAGGATGGAATAAAGTTCATTGACACCATGCAATCTGATTCGTTCATGATTTAATAGTCCAACTAAATATTTTTTGACAGATTCTCAATATGGAGGATGATATGAACTGGTACAGAGCAGAATTGGACTCTCGGGAGGGTTTAATACCGAGTAACTACATAGAAATGAAGAATCATGAGTAAGTTTCTGGATTAGCATTGACTCTGAATTTTTTTAGGTAATAAATATTATTGTATTTCATATTTATTCATAGCTGGTATTATGGGCGCATCACAAGGGCAGATGCTGAGAGACTCTTGTCAAACAAGCACGAGGGTGCCTTTCTCATCAGAATCAGTGAGAGTTCCCCCGGTGATTTCTCTCTATCTGTCAAGTAAGAATTTTTATCAACAAGCCTTTGTTGAAAAATTATCACATGCAATTGCATAACTGAGATGTTATTGAAGTGATTCGAATTTGGGTGGACGAGGAAAGAAATTCAAAAATACTTTAACGAGTGTTCAAAGTTAGGGAATTCAAGATAACAACAAATTATTATCTTCATTTGTCTTTCGCTATTTTCTAGATGTTCTGACGGTGTTCAACACTTTAAAGTATTACGAGATGCCCAAGGAAAATTTTTCCTCTGGGTCGTTAAGTTCAGTAGTCTCAACGAACTAGTTGAGTATCACCGTACAGCCTCAGTTTCCCGCTCTCAGGATGTTAAATTACGCGATATGGTACCAGAGGAGGTGAGAATTATCAGAACCATAATTCCTGCAATCAATCAGGAAACTCTTAACACTAGTTTCGACCTTGAATTGCGATTATGTAATTTCCATTTATTTTTTCTACTGAATGTATTTCCTGAACCGAGTACAGTAGTTACGTGATTATCAGAAATCGTGATTGAAGTTTTTCAAGTGTTTGATAGTGACCGTTAAATGCGCAATCAATTGCGTAAATTGTTTGATTTAATTTGAGGGAAAGAAATTTACAAGATTACGCGAGTTATTGAATCTCCACTGTCATTTCCTGTTTTGTTGTGATTATTTCAGTGTTTGGTACAGGCATTGTACGATTTCACACCGCAAGAGCCAGGTGAGTTGGAGTTCAGAAGAGGTGATGTTATCACTGTGACAGATCGTACTGATCAGCACTGGTGGCATGGGGAAATTGGTAACAGACGAGGATTATTCCCATCTACCTATGTTACGCCTTATCATTCATAGGTGAGAAAATGGAATATTAATAAATGCAGGAGGGCATAACATGTATATTTAATTTTTTACAGACCCCTCTTTACAAGTTCAAAGGACCACGCCATTACACACCCCCCAATCATCACATGTACAGGATCAGAATTGAGAATCGGAGGATGCAATATTCAGCATTATCATTTGCCAACAATTCTCATGCTGTGGGCTACGGGAAACACATTTTCGTCATGATTTGATTTTCTCGTAATTCAGTAGCCATTTAATTGCCATGTTCTATTCAATCTTCACTGAATCACTCTGTTGGTAAACAACGATATTTCAAGTAACTGTGAATTTCTTCGATTGATTTCTTTGATTAATTCTTACCGAGACGCTAGTACAAAAAATAAACATTTTTGTAGTCCCACCCGCCCCCTCAATTGCAGGGAAATCATTCTTATTTCTGATGATGAAGTTTTGATGTAAATTTTTGTACTTTTGTAGCAAACGGATATGAAGCAGAAAATTGAATGTTCTAATTTTAAGAGAATTCCTACGTCACGTTTTTGACATTGAAATCCAAATGACTTGACGGTGTCAGTAAGGAAAAACTTGAGGTAGATAACGATATTACATCACTCGTAGCCCACTCTGAATCATAAAAGCTATTATTTTACTACTTAGGCCATATGACAAGAAACAAGTACATGATCAACTACTTTAATGAAACGTGCTATTCTAAAACGAGGATATGATTTTCGTTAGGTACAAAGGCCTATTTATGTCATTCAATTTTTAACGAGAACGCAACTGTGTATGAAATGCATGGAGACGTCTCTTTATTGCATATAATCGTTAAATTCGGATTTTATTATTTTGACAGCAAATTATAAACTAAGTTATATCGAGAGTGAAGTAATCATGAGTTTCCAGATTTGCTTTTTCTTCCAACAGTGGAAAACAGATCGACATTTGCATGAAGGATTTAATTGTGAGCGAAAGTGTGAACGAGTGTAGAAACTTTGTGATTGAGAAACTGAAAAGAGTATAACGAGACAGGGGCCCGGGGTGTGTTGATAAGTTATGAATTGATATTGGGCAACAATAATTCATTTGATAGAATGTGAGTTAAGTCGATGCAATATAACTTTATTTCTTCAATTCTTCATTGCTCCAAGTCGTGGATAACTGACGAATATTTTTTGTTATATTTTTACATCGCTTTTCTAGAATCGTTGTAAAAAAAGAGTAATTGGTGTGTTCCACTGATTAATACACAGTATCGTATTAATTTTTTAATATAAATATGAATTTTTTAGTTAAACGTTACGTCAAATCACTCGAAGTGGTAGTGGGTAGTCATCAATTACGTCGTTTATTATTGATTTATCTTTTTTGTGTAGAAAAAAAAGTAATTGTATTCTGTGCGTAGATGAAAACTGTGTATATGAAGAAGAAGAAGGCGAATCTGTATTTTTCTTTTAAGGAAAGAAAAACATTTCCCAAATTCAGTTTTATTATTGTTGTACACAAATTACGGAAAAATTCAGCCTTTTATGGTTTAATTATATTATTATTGCGTTATGTTACAATTTTATTAATGGCAGTTTATTATATCAATCAAATGCACAAGGTATGTTTCCTTCTGTAGAAAAAGAGAGAAAGAGATAGAGAGAGAGAATATATCTTTGGCCTCAACTTTATACCCCGAACTTGCTTCAACTTACGATAACAAGATATTCAAAACTTCAATAGTTTTTTTTAAATTAAGATATAATTTTATTTGTATTATATATTATCCACCGTAAGAGGAAAATGTTTCATCTTAATTTTCGCTGAAAATAAATAATAGGAAATAAAACAAATATCTTGTTGATTTTTATTAATCAGGGATGTTGAATGGTTGGGGAGTGACCCAGTGAACAAATTCATTATTGTCTTAAACAAAGTATATTTTATTTGTACATTTGTCCAGAAGATAGCAGATTCGGTGTTGAAAGATTAATATCTGTCTCAATGTATAATTATTTATAAGCAAGGGATGAGTGCAGCAGTTAGCAAACAAGTCTATAAGAGATATATCTTCCTGCAGTCTCCGAGGGTCGGATGATTTTCACGACCTGTCCACGTTTCAAACCAAAATACCTAGCGACAGGATCACCAGCTTGAATCCTCATGAGTTGATTCTCTTTTAACTTGTATCGCATCAACAATTCATCTTTCTCGTCAGGTGTCAGGACAATGTGCTCTGGAACTAATTCATGTTCTGTGATGTTGATCAATAGCTCAGACTCCAAAAATTGCTCCAGGATATATTTCGGTGCCATGTCGACTAGCGATTGTTTAGCTGAGGGTGTCATACCTTGTTGAACAACAATAATGGCTCTGAAATTGACAGAACGAATGCAATTCAATAAAAACTTTTTACAAGTTCTTGAAATATTTTTTTTTCCAAATCCGGTTTAAGAGATATTTAGACAGGATTTACCTGTGAATTTTCTCTTCCTGCATACGTTGACAATATGTCTTGATAGTTTTTATTCCAATTTTTGGCTCGTCAGGGAAGAAAACGAACAGTTGATCCGTGGGATCGTCATTGTGAGCAACCAGAACAATCAAGTCACTTCTCGCTGGCCTTTTTTCACTCGGTTTATCTCCAAATTGTTGTTTGAACTGCTCCAATGTTTGATCCAATTCATCCTGTGTCACTAAATAACCTCTATCATGACACAACTGCATAACAGTCTTCCTAATTCTCCACAGCTTGTACGTCTCCGCTTCGTCATCCATTTCAACTCAAAAAGACAAGTCCCCAATACTAAATAAATGAATGAAAAATAACAAAAATAATCCTTCAATCTTCTCAAATCGTGAGCGTCACGTTGATAACCTCAACCGAAGCAAAATAAATTTTCGGTAAATATTTTTGGAAGCGCAAGATCCACCGACAGTGCTGCCAGTAAATTAAAAATTTTTTTTCATGCAAACAGGTGCTCATGGAAATCTGCTGTTTCCATGAACTATCATAAAAAAAACAGTCGAAATTTGTGAACAGATTGAATACAACACGTTTTTAGATTTTCTTGGTGAAAGGACAGAGCAATAATTGCAATGTTAATAAATTTTTACTGATTAGTTAGAATTTGTGTATGGAGTACGCGACAACTGTTATGACAATGTTTATGATAAATTGGGGGTGGGAATTACGAGGAACAATGTCATCAGATTCAATCGATAATACACAATACCTGGAAGGGGTAGTTGGAAGAGGGCGAAGTGGGTGTTAGTGTGTTTGTGCCATTTGTGGTATGGGGTGCACGCTTACACGAGTGCATAAAGAGGATAGGATTATATCCTGCGGGTAAATTTCTTCATGAATCCAATTGCAATTACTATTTTAAAATGTTAGTATCCTCGATAGCTTTATAATTAATCGTATAAAGAAGCTGGATTTTTTGGGAGGACATTAAAATGTAAAGTTATGCCGAAAAAAAGTAGCAGACATGTCAAGGATTCAGGGACAACGAGGGGACAACATATTGATGATAAGGATTGTAATGACAGTGTCATTAAGCATACACAGACTGTACGTATTGGAGTTAAAAGTGCTAAAAGATGGTTCTCGTTGAAAAAACGAATGGGATTTGCCAGTGATGATGATTTGGTGGTGCATCTGCTCGATCTTGCCGAGACTATCAGGTAATTTTCTATTTTTTTCAGTTTACCCATTCATTTATTGTCGTCATTTGGTGACATTCAGGGAGTTAATTAGGTGAATGTAATTATTTTTTCTTCGTGGGGAATCTGTCATTAGCGATTCCCAGGGGCCGTCATTTGTCCGCCATATTTGTTTAAAATACTACCCTCATGTAGGTAGAGTCATCAATCCATTGACAGAATTATTAATTTTCGTTTGAATTTTACGAATACGCGATCGGCTATTTTTCAACTGAATATAGTTTTTGTTTGAGCTCATAAAATTCTGATTTCAAGTACTTGATCCATCATTTTGTGTTTACAATTTCAGAAAAGATGAAAAATCTCCGGAGAAAAAGGGAGAGACGAATGGTAATGCTGAGGAAAAGGAAAAAGATAAGAATGTAATAGAAGTAGAGCCTCACGAGCCACTTCGTAGAAGTTCGAGGAAACAGAATCAAGAATCTCAAAAGGACGAGATTTCTCAGAAAAATTCGATAGACAAGGGTTCAGTGGAACCGACTGGAGGGATGGAGGAGCAGCATGCAAAGCACAAAGCAAAAATAAAACACCACCGGAACAAAACAAAACACCACAAGGAAAAACGCAAGAAGCGAAAGCACACGAAGAGTTCAGAGTCTGAAAAATCTCTGACGGTTGATAACGATAATATAGAAGAGCGTATAAAATCTAAAGACAGTACAAGTCAGCCTGACAATGAAACTAATCTGAATAAATCTGTGGAGATCCATGAATCTAGAGATGAATCTGTCATCCAAAAGACTGAGACTATACATAACGTAGTATTAATCAGCAATGTAAATAGCAAAGAAAATATTAGTCAAAATTCGCAGATTAACGACAATTCAATCGACAAAAATGCAAGTATTCAGGATGATAGAAATTTAATAATTAGTACCTCAGCAAAGTGTTCAGTCCTCAGACACTCAACAGAGCCCAACATTCCCCAGGAATTTGAGGAAAAAAATGATAAATTCCCGACAACGCAGGAGCAGCAGGAACTGCCCTCGACTCAAAAAAGTATAAGATCACCCGAGCAATTGTCAGAGCCTCAAGGGAAACCCGACTCTGACGATAAGAAAAAGAAAAAACGAAAGCATCTCAAGCCTGAAACAGATTCATTGCAAAATGACTCAAATACTGAAACGAACGATGAGCTTGGTCACAAGCACCGTAAAAAGAAGCACAAAAATACCGAGCACAAAGTAAAGAAGAATCACGACGTCAGAAAAGCTCCTCAAGACGGAATGATTCCCGTGGAGCCTCGAGAGATGAAGCCTGACGAGCCATCTCCCTCAGTTGGACCCCTCCCCCCAGCAGATTTTGACAGTGAAGCAAGTGCAGATCACCAGAGACTCGCGATAAAAATAAAACTCTGCCAGGATTGCAATAGTCGTCATATCCAGGACGCCTGTCCTTTACTCTCAGCGGTCTACGAAATCCCAGACTCAATATCACCCCATGACTGGATAAACATGCACAAGCACAACCCTGATGTAACGAAAGCTCTCGCCTCCGACAATCCAATGTCCGAGGGTTATGGAAAACCCACGGATGACGGATTCGAGTCCGACGAAGACTCAGATCTGTACAAATCAAAATCAAAAGCCCACAGCGAGGAGAGACGTCTTCAAGTCGACGAAGGGCGACCACTTTACTCTAGGGATTCTCTACCAGACTGTCTAGTGCTCAAAATGTCAAACAATGACCACGGTCTTGGCATTTTCGCCGATAATCCAGTGCCAATGTACGCTAAATTGGGGCCATTAATCGGAGAACCGGTAAAGGAAATGGATATTCCTGATGATTTCCCTATGCGTCATATCTGGGAGGTGGAGGTGGACGGAAAAACATCATACATAAGTACCACTAATCCCCTAAAGAGCAATTGGTTACGATACATGCGACCCGCTGAGACGAAAGACGAGAGAAGTGTCGTGGTAATAATTGAGAACGGTAAACTTTACTTTGTTACAACACAAAATATAACACCAGGCAGTGAATTAACATACTGGGCAGATTCTCAGTCTTCTGCATGGACACGAAAGAACAAAACAGATAAAACAAACTGCGGCGGTTGTAATCTCAATTTTACCCATCAAATTTACTATCGTTTACACTGCTGCATATTCCACGATGCTAATTACAGTTTAACCATTCGTAAATATCATTGCAAAGTGTGTGGTGCTGCTGTATTGGGAAAAGATAATATCATGAAACATGCGGCTGAACTTCACGCTGGTCGTGGAGCTTATCAGTGCCAGTACTGCAGAAAATTTTTCTTACGATTGAATTATCTCGAGATGCATCGCACCTATGGGTGTTCGCAAAATCCACAGAGAACTAGGCCACTGTGTGACTTTTGTGGACGTAAATTTTGCCAGCCGCAAAAATTAAAAGTACATATTAAGAGAATGCACAGTGATATGTCCGAGGTGTTGAGGGAGTTTCAGTGTAAATTGTGTTTGAAGTTGTTGGGATCGAGGGCTGCATTGCAACGGCACATGAAGGAAGTTCATCATAAGGATGTTGTCGGGGCAGCCACTTGTGATCGTTGCGGAAAAATGTTTCAGAATAAGAGTAATCTAAAAATTCATATGCTGACACACAGTGGTGTTAAACCTTTCAAGTGTAAGGAAAATGGTTGTAAAGCTGCATTCACCACTAAACAATGTCTCCAATTTCACTATAAGAAAGTGCACGGATTAACTGAAGAGATGATGCCAAAAATAGAGAGATCAGTGGCATACACGTTCGATGCATACAGTGGAGGTCCCTTGGAAGAGACTTCCCAAGACACAAACCCGAGAACAAATCGCCGAAATTCCCAGGAGAATAACAGTAGTTTATTGTCGACCGACGACGTATCCTCTGAGAACAGTATGAAAACCGAGACATCCGTGCCATGTCCTCCCCTTCACCCAGAAATGGAGCCCGATAGCTCAATAAACCGACCAACTCATCAGGATCTGCTGATATCGTCACCGAGACACGAAGTTATTTTATCATCTCGTCAGGATATGGATACATACGGTACCTCAAGGCTGCAGAGTAAGGGAAGTAAAAAATGGATGGGTGAATTCAATCCGCCCCCCACGAGCAAACTCCCAGAGCATTCTCATCCAGTTTCAGTGACCCCAACCGATCCCTACGAATTCGAAGATCTCCCAAAGAAAGAGGAGGAGGAACGTTCAACACCTATTCCAATGACATCAACCCTCATGGATGAGAACAAACTTGGTCTGAGTGTCTACCGACGAACAGAGAGTACAAACGCAAGTCTTCTGGTCGAGGCTGCTCTCGATGCAGCAGAGAGAGACATCGGTGCTGTCTCAAGTCCAATACTTGAGGACAACGATCGAGATGGCAATCTCTACTCAATGCCCAATCATCTGCACTCTCCTCTCCCCTCGCGATCCCCAGAGAGTCATCTGGAATCGTACATGCAGCAGCAGGAGGATCTCATGTCCCCGACACCGACCCCAGACGGTCGAAACACACCTCCCACTCACGTAAGCTCCGATTACCACCTCCATCGATCAGTGGACTACATAAATACCACGAGAAACCACAATATCGATCAGTATCTCCACCACGAAGACCTCCCTCGAGGCACTTCACCCAATAACTACATCCACATGTCTCAGACTGATCTTGTGTCTCCATCAGCCACTCCCAATCGTTATCAAGAGGTCCATCATCATCATCAGGTACCCGCAGAGAACCTCTCGAGTGACGAGGGCGACTCTGTTGCCCAGAATCTCAGTATTTCAGTCAAAGAGAAAGCACTCCAGTTGGACTTGCCCACTTCTTATAAATACGACCCTCTTGATTTTGAATTCGGTAATAGAGAGAGAAATTTCGAGCCACTAGTGTTGAATAATGGAGAGCTCCAGGGGCTCGATATGAGTGCCCGGGGATTTCACACATTTGGATCACAAATGCAAAACAGCAGATATCATCATCATCATCATCTCTACGATATTGGGGAGCGTCAGAGTGTCGATTTAAGTAGAACTGGGAGTTACTCAATATCACCACCACCACCTCCATATCCGCACAGTGATGTTCTCAGGGTGGTTAGTCTCGATCTCACACCTGGGGGGAGGCATTCCGTTGATTTGAGCCTTTCTAGGGGTCATCATATTCATGGTAATACTTCCCGAGTACTTACTAGTCCACAACCAAGTTCAACAACACCCCACGTTGTTCCTGAGGCCATTGAGGGACGAATGCTCTCTCCACCACCACCTCCACTGCCTGCTTACAATCCGGCTTATCCAGTCAGTCCTGCGCCTTATCATCCACCAAGGCCTGGGTATTATCATCATTCGGGGTACTATTGAATCACATTTTGTAGGCAATCGGGAGTCGACTGGTGGGAGACTATATATATTAATTGTCTGTTTCTTTTTTTACATAAATTTCTGTAGGGTTGTACTACAGAATAATTTTCCCAGCAATTTTTCAAAAGGTTGTTTATTAAACAATCTCTAAGAATTCTCTTTATGTATTACTTTATTGGTGCAAGTTTATCACTTGTCTCTCACGTTTTCTTATCTATATGTTTTTTAGATTTTTTTAGTAATTACGAAGCACAAGCCCATGTGTGATACTTTTTTATACGGATTATATCTATGTTAATTATCGCTTGTTTCATACATCCATTTCCTCTGCTGCTTTTATATCACTTCGTTTAGCGAATATGTACAATCATTGTTGATTAAAAAATTGTTACTCTGAGTTTAGCTTGCATGCTTCTATAGCAAAATTCAGAAACTTATTCAATTCTCATTGAATTTTTCAGAATGCCTGATAAGTGATAGGGGAAGGTGGGGCAAAATGCATTGTCGAATTATTTTATTGTTTATTGGATAACTTGAGTATTATGATAAACTTTTTTAAACATATTCATATGAAAATGCAAAAAAAATTGCTCAAGATACTTTCAAGTAAAAAATTAATAGATGACTGATTATTGCCTTTTGTTGAGTGATTTTTTGTTGCTCTTTCTCTTCAATTTTATTTCACGAAAAAAATTTTTAATCACCTATCAGCTTTGCCGCACCCTCTTCTGAATCAAATTAAAAAGGTCAACGGTAATTCTAGTCATTTTACATTCACGAGTAAGACGGAGTTTAATTGTGAATCCGGAGGAACTTTCTGTCGAATTGTAGAGTGAGGAGCGAGTACATGAATTAATTAGTAATCATTAATTATTATTGTATATATTTCCTCAATTCAAATTTCGGTAGAGTAATACTGTATAGATTTCTCCGTTAAATGTATGTACAGTAGACTCCCGTTAGTCGTGTGTTTTTTTTTTTCGTGGCAAAATTCAAAAATACGCGAGAAATTTACATTTCCGCTTTATTTCGCCTGGAATTTCATCCCTCACCAGAAGAAACAATGGATTGTTTACATCTTGAAGTCTGGAGGTGGTAGCCGAAGAAACCAAAAGATACGCGAAAAAGAAATAGAGGAAAGGTGCGATTATAACGGGACTCTACTGTAGCTGCAATAATTCGTGTAAGAATAGTGTAGATTTGTCTCTGTTGTGAACACATGACGAATTGGAAAAAAATACCAAAGATGGAAATGCTAATAACTCTTGTGCCAAATTGTATAGGGCGTAAATGTATTCAATTTTACTTTAATAACAACAAATGTCGTACTGGATACAATTTTTCCATTACAAATTTTAGCTCGCCAGGTTAATGCATAATTTTTACACAAATTTAAAAACTATTTTTTTATTTTGAAGGGGTAATCTTATATGTACATAAATGATGGCAAATATGTCAAAACACAAAAGTGGAAGATTTTATTGTAAAGAATTTCTAATCATCTTCTGCAAGCATTTTTTTGATTAATGATTTGTAGATTAATGATTCGTCGATTCATAGAATAGTCGGAGTTACTGAATAAATAATACAACTTAGGATCAATTTTACAAGAGAAAAATAGTCGTTCACTTATAACTATGCAAGATCTCTGTCTTCTTATCGAAGGTTTCACTTCGTTCTACGTGGGATTATTGCAAAGCAGAAGAATAATGAAACATGCAATATACAAAACTTTTAGTAATTGTAGTAATGAAGATTTATTTAAATACGTTATCTGATCATTGTAAATCGGGCACATGATGGCATCAAGGAAAGTGATATAAAAATGTATTTCTAGATAAAACAAAAACCTCGAAAATTAATGCTAAAATTGTCGATATTTTTCGAATACAAAACGAATTATGGCCCACAATATATTTGTATCAGGTTCATTAATTTTTAAGACTTAAGGAGTATTAAAAGACTAAAACTCTCAAAAATGTTGTTTTGATTTAAGGGGTTAAAGGTGGAGGGCCGAGGCATTTTCCAATTTCAATTTACAGAATTGAAGAAAAAAAAATCAATGACAGTAAGATACAAATGTTTATTAATCCTCAAAATTTTCTTCAGTGCTAAAAAAATGTGTCTCAGATTTACGGAGACCATTAATTCATTTCTAATATACATCATATTAATTTACAATATTAATTTGTTTCATTGTCATTAACCTAATGGATACGTTTTCATGATTGAACGATTATGATCAAGATACGATGCAGTGAGGCGATAAAAAAAATCAAGAGTTGGATTGATTTTACTTGTCAAGAAGTTGAGACTTAATATATTCTTTAAACTTGGCATCTTTGGGATCGATCGATGGTTTACGTTCGACAATGAGTTTACGTTTTTTCGCCTCAAGATCGTTATTGTCACTTGTGCGTTTTATCACATCAATACGTTTCCGTTTGCAGCTTTCAATCTTCTCTCCCTTCAATGGTTCTTCCCTGGAGCGACTGAGTTCAGCAGTGAGATCCCCAATTTTTTGCTCCCACTCCTCAAAATGACGTCTCATCTCCGATATCTGTTGCTCCTGTTCATGAATTTTCTTCGACTGATTCTGCAATTTTTTGCTCTGCAAGTGAATGAAACATGCTTGTCTCTTCAGTCTCAGTCTCAATTTTTTCATAGCAGCCTCAACATTCAAAAATGACAATCTGTTCTTTCTTGTTTTAATAAACACAGCCCTCATCGTGTTATTCCAATTCTCGGCGGTTAACGTATGCTGACCATAGACACTCGTGGTGGGAGTTGAATTGTGATGAGAGATCATGAAACTACTTCCAGGCAGTTCATACGAGCTCACAGCATTTACCATTGACGTGCAAGCACTTTGTTTCAATACTGGCAAGATCTTCTCATCAAAGTGTTCCATTGCCATGCTACTTATATCCCTCAACTCCTGGAGGATCTCGTGGGCTCGGGGTGGAAATTTTGTGTCCTTTATCAAACGTAAAACTCGGAGAATCTCGTCGATTACCTGATGTGAAAATTGCGGATTAATTTCTCACGCTCGTGTACCAAAAAGACAATATTTTCAAAAAATAAAATAACATCGAGAAAATTCCAATGATTATTGAAAAATTCCAGAAAATTATTTGAGTCTGGAACTCGTTGGACCACTCAACCGAGTGCTTCTCCCAGTAATTAACATAAATAGAAGAGTCTATTCACCTTTCCCGGGATGAAACAACACAGGTGTAAATTAACGTATTTCATAAAAGTCATGGATAACATGGATATCCGTGTTTCAATGGCAGTGAGGACATCAGCATGTCTCGCAAGGGCATGATTTCTGCGCTCAGATTCCCTTCTTGGCAACTGACTCTTGACATTCTTCAGGCATTGTCCATGATACTTCTCCATCAAACTGAATCCACGATTGAGCATCTGCTGGCACGTCCGATCAAAGTGTTTACAGACCTATCCAAAAATTCCAACAATCATTTATTTTGCATAAACATTCATCAATTGAAACTCCAAAATGAGAAAATACTCACAATTCGGAGTCGAGCCAACTCATCGTATGACAGATTCGACAGAATAGTTTCGAGAACGACATCAGGCAGTTCGATGAGTGAAATATTCTGTACCATTTCGATTTCCATCATGCTCTAACCCTAAAAGTCCCTCACAACAGCCCAATCCAATATATTTAAAATAATCGAGTAGATAAAAATCTTCCTATCAGGAAAAACAAAAGAATAAACTCGAACGATCCGATATATCACTCCGAAGAATGTACTCTGCAAAATATAAACCAGTGCACACGCTGTTATGTATTTTCGCGAACAGTCGTCAACGTTATTTTTTTTTCCAATACAATTGGCTGACTGTCCCTTCCGTTGTTACCTTTTGCAAAACTTTAAAACACGAGTTGCTTCACTCGTTATTGATTACATCGACTGTAGCTTTCCCTTTAAAAACCTCTTATTTATCAATTTACAGGATCATTGTTCTCTTCGCATAACTCTAACTCAGAGTACGCAGAACGACAGGAAAAATAATTACTCGGGAGGTTCTGCCATCTACTGGCGATTTTGACAGATACAAACTACCGGAAATAATTGGTAGCAACCGCCAAGTACAAACCGATACTAATATACGCCTCTTACTATTATTTATTGATTTTTATTAATTATGTAGCTTCAAAATATTCACCGAGTAGGTAAACGAGAGATTAGCTGGTACCCGAGGGAGAAATCCACTTGCAGGAAATATTTCTCAAGATATTTCGAGGACGTGTACCTAGGAGCGATAGGGGATGAAATCGCTTGAATTCCACCGCCAGTTATCACTTGCGAATTACGGTAAACAGTTTGGTAGTTAAGGAGATTGATTTATCTTTCTTGTAATAAAAAAATCTTCACTCGTTTGATGTCCGGAGACAGGATAAATGCATATTCTTAAAATCTCTGGGTGACTTAGCAGACGGTATGATTGAGGTAATCACTGTGTCTAAGTGAACAGAGGTTTAATTGAAATTAACTTAAGTTCCTCCCCGTGAATGTATTACACTCATTCAATCGAATTATCCTGTCACATCTGCATTGAGGACTCGAGGAAAAACTAAGTAGTTTTGTTTGCCATTTTATGGTGTCGGGATTTAATTTCAGTGAGTGTCTGTTTACTCTCGGTGTACAATGTGAACTGTGGAGTTGAATTTTGGACGGGAAGTGATAAGGGATCGAACAGGTTGATGGAATTCCTGGGGTAAATCTGTGGAAGTCAATGGCCCTCTTTACCTCTTCCAAGAAGCTAAATATCATTCTATGAATACGAATCTTGGAGTAACACGCGATAAATCTTGGTGAGGGACATTTGAATTGCTAAAGATTTTTGTTGAAAATTCTTTTTTATATCATGATTTTTATACTGCATACTCCAGCCCACGTGATCGTTAATTTATTATACCCTCTGATCGAGAGGAGGGACCCTTTTGCTAACGTCCTCGGTGATGATTTTTTTTGTCATCGGGGAATACCGGTACATGGATATGTGAGTTGCCAGTTGCCATAATAGTCGCACTTCGCGAGAGGGTGATATTTTTTTTTTTATATTTCTCGTGGATTTTATTTTCAGTGTGGGAGAACAAGGAGCTACGGTAAAACGGGCATTCCATTGTTCTGGGAATAATGTTCTTTTATAATATGAAAAATAATTCTTTACTCCAGTGATGACTTTACAGATTGTCCGACGTGACAATTGACTCCAAACCGAATGATTTTCCCAGATGAATGATTTTATACCAAATTTGCGTTTGGGTCTTGATTTTTTTTTTAAATTGTGGGCATGAAAATAGAATATTGTCCGATTGAGAGGATTAAATTATTGATTTACTATTTTATCGTGTCATTTTTAATTTAATCAATTTAATTATATCGCATACAATAATCGATCATGTTTCTTCTCGATATCATTGACTCTACAATCACTTTTTTCAATCGATAAAACATCGAGTGAAACATCATTCCAATGGCGCTATTGTAGTCCCCGAGGAGTGGATTAATTGTTTTCCATTGAAAAAATGAGAAGAAAAAATGTTATAAAATTTAATAAAAGGTAGATATGTTGTTTACAATATCAAGAATTGACTGGAATGTCAATCCCCGGACTCAATAGCAATTACCGCTGGAATTCCGGATTTATCTTAATCGCAAAAAAATTAGAAAAACCCAATAAACAAGATGAGGAAAATGCGATTCCGCGAACAATATGATCACCAAAATTCCGCCTCATCGAATGAATATCAATCAATATCTCATCAATGCCTCATCAATAGAATTGCATTCGAAGAATCCTCTGGACTCGTTACCCCGGAGTTTTTATGAGAAAATTTGTATTCAATAAAAAATTAGAGTGCAATCGGTATCAATTGTCCAATCGAAAATTTGAATTCCCCACCAAAAGGACTAGATATTTTTATTTACTAAAAAAATTTTCTTGCTAAAATAGAGGAATTTCCAATACCGGAATTGTCTATGGGACTATATTATAGGCATTCCCAGGCTGATTCACTGAGACTTCGAGAATTAAAATAAAATTATCATTACATAGTCGAAGCGCTAACGTTTCAACTGCTAAATGCACTCTATATCAGGAGCAATACGGCTTTACAGTTCGGAAGTTCATGAAAATGGCGAACATATTGCTCGTGTATTCTGCCAATTAATTTATTCCATGGATTCAATAAAAATATTTAATAAAAATATTCCTGTACAATGCACGTCGGAAGACAGCGTTACAAATGGTTTCCATTATCCCCTACAACTAGGAATTGAGAAAATTATCACAAGTCCTAGAATTCCTCTATCTCAATATTATCAATTCCACCCTAAAATTCCATTCAAATAAATAGCGTTTTTTATTCTAATCACAGATAAATATTTTTGCAAAATCTATAAATATATATAAGTATATATAAATATTTACTACACTTTATAATTATTAAAATTTAGGTTTAATGTTGAATTACATAAATCGATTGTAATCGTGATAAAAATGAGAGGAATATAAACGAAATAATTTTTCTGACTGCCGATTCCAGGAGCGGTATCCCGATAACACCAGAAGTCGTCGGAATAATTCCTCAATAATATGATCATGGACTGGTTGATTTATTTTTTACCTGGCAATGTCATCGTAACATTACACCAGTCCGTTAAATCCTCCATTTGCAATGGAAGGGTAGATTCTTGGATTTTGATATAATGATTTGCGACACGGTTGTCCCCCCCCTACCACCTGGACGTGCGATTCTTTCTCGCGGTCTCAGGAATACACATGGAAACGATCACATACACGTTCAGGGAAGCAAGTCTTTATAAGTAGAAGCCATCCGAGTCCCCGGGACTTACTCCCTCTTGAGACGCGCCACGATCGGACGATTTACTGAAAATACATTTGCCTTACAAAAATTGCGGTAGAGAGATCATTTTCCGCGGCTCGAGAAGAACTCACCACCACCGACAACTAGTCTTGTATGTTCCGTTCAGTTGAATTTAGCCTCTCTTGCTCACTATTTCAATCATCATTTTCACAAATTATTTAAATATTTTATTTCACAAGCCATTGAAATAGCGATTATTTCAATCCGGAGGAGAATCATCAACGTCCGAGGGGGTTGAAGGTGCCCATGGTGTCAAGTGCGAGGTGCATCCCCGAAGAAAATAATGTCAACTAAAGGGTGAGTTTTTACACCAATTCCTACATCCTCCCTCATCAACACAAAATATTGTGAATATTTGACAATTGCACAATAAAAATCACTCCATCTTAATTATTATAAATCCGTCAAGCGCATGATTATCCGCTATTTAAAATTCTCTTCTTCGGCTTCCATGAGTCATTCGCAGTCGAAATAGCGAACAATTTTATTCATATCAATTAGCGATGAGGCGCAAAAAACGGAGAAACCATTGAGCCGCGATTAAAATGGATTAAAAAGGAAGTTGCAATGAGGAATGTCGGTATTACGAAACACCCTTGCCCCTCAGATTCAATTCTGACATGCCCCATAACACCGCTTATTTGTTACTGTCCTTCAGACATCATCGAGGCCATAATCCTTATATCGTCGATAGAATTATTTCAAAACACTAATCACGCTCCAGCAAATGAATTTTTAGTGGCAATGACACTGACAACGCGTCATACCCCGGAATAATATAAATAATGGAATGAGTGATTGATGTCACATCCAAACAATTTGACTGACAAGTGACATCTCACATATCTCCAATCATCGGTTGATCAATTATGGAATTAAACGAAATTCATTGATTGCCGTTGTATTCCATTGAATTGGTAGGATCCACTGGTGAATAATTGCATTGAATAATGGATGGGGGTGGAGCTGTGTTGAGATGAGGAAAAACGAGTTAAAGAAAAGTTAAAGAGAAACAAGCGATAGGATCGATTGTAAATTGACATTGAACTCCGTGGTACCCACTGGACATATCCTCGACATTGGATTGTGGCGCAACGGCCACCCATAAATGGTGAATGCTTCACTGCCACCGGAATGTTCGTGTGCTTGTACATTCAACCCTTTTGTCCACTCGATATCTCATCTCTATACACTTATACAGTACAAACATTAAATCATAATATATGGCTCTGTGAGTACGTCAGAATTGATGTTTTTGTTCAAGACTTTAGTGCACTTTAACGATGGTACTCAAAGCCCTCAAATTAGAATTCATCAGCAACGGGGTTCAGATAGTCTAATGTCAGCTCAGCGGACAATAATTCAATATAATGGGGGAGGATATGAACCCTGGGGATGAGGAGATAATGAATGAGCAGATGGTCTTGCTGATACCTGATTAATGCATTCGTTTAACGAGAACTATCAAGCATCATTTTTCTCCAGAAGGGGATGCACTTTAAATTATCTCCATTTTTTTATACACGTGTTGCTTTTAAATACCACTGAGGAATTCCATCAATCACCCATCACCTCGGAATTACCTCAGAATTATCTCGAAATTATGTCTTTAGAAGTATTTTTTGCTGGATGTTTTAACAGCAACATAAAATATCCTTTGAGATTCCTGGCAAAAGCCGGTAGCATCGTCTACACCGAGAAAAACCATACAAACAGTCTCCAGAGTGATCGAGTGCAACCACTTGGCTCATGAATTGTCACGAATAGTACTGGAAAGTACCAAGAGACATTCGCCCTAATAACACTCCATTCAACAATCAACCAAGACTCGTCTCCCAACGATCATCGTATACTCGTCTCCCAACGATCATCGTATACTCGTCTCGACGAAGCTGAAAAAACTAATGTTTTTATTCCCCTGGTAACGCCAAGGTTGTGCTGCTTAACAATTTTTCCCAATGTTTTTCCAATTCCCATGAGGGGGAAAGAAAAAAAATCGAATTTTTGCATTCACCCGTAGAAATGCTGTGGAAAAATAAGAAGGTGACAGAACATGGTGGAAGGCACGTACAAGTAATTTCCTCCGCCTCTATATCCCTTTAATTGCGGAATACCTAACGAGCAAAAGAAAATCCTGGTAGAATGATACACGAAGGCTCCACGGTGTAGAACCTGAGGTATCGTTATTATCGTTATCGTCGAGACAACTAAAAGGAAAATAGAGACCGATACGGTGGATCATGTCGGTCTGAGAGAGTAAGAGAGTGGCGCAACCTTATAACGCGACCTTGCAGAATAACCGCGTCAAGGTTGCACTTTGCCATCAGCATCCCAAGAGACTTGCCCGTTGGTTTATATACTCTGATGGCAGTTGGCTTCAACTACACCTCATCATAGGCCCCTTACCTATTACACAAAGAGCTATATATAAACACCATTTTTTATCTCGATTCTCTGTTTATCCCCTTCTGCTTACCCAACCCACCGCTGCACACCAAGATTTACTCCAGGTAACTACGTGATCACCGGTGTCTCTTACCCTACGGGACTCGTCGTCTACCTCTGATGCCAATCTTCAAGTGCGCCTACTACTCACGCAAATACTTCATCTTTATCCGTTGAATTCCAATGGCATCTCCACTATTCGTCGTCAGCCTATTATAATCACTTGATTGGTAACAGGATGAGAGAATTTTTCTCACTTGCAATTTCTGTAATTTCTAATTCTTTTTTTTTCCCCTGAGTTTTTTTTTTTCATGGGTTTTTACACCTGTCTCACTCATCATTTATCCACTCGAGTGTCCCTGGCCTGCCATTTTCATCTGCTGATTCATTGGGAATACGAATATAGGTAAACGGTTATTTGAAATGACTGAATTGAGAATTTCAAATTGTTTATTGTTATGGCTGTTTGAGATGTTTGGAAATTTCCTTTTGAGTTCTTTTGTCGTTCCAATTGTAGAGCGATTACGCATGGGGATGTTTTAGAAATTGATTATTAGATTTAAATTTCAAGAGACGAGTGCATTATTTTAATTTTGTTAATTATTTTAGTTTTATTTAAACAATTTATTTGAATAGTCTCAATGGGTCATTGTCCCTGCAGGACAGGTGATGTGATTATAAAATTATGATAATTGAATTTTCTAGAGATAATTGGGACAATGACCACTACCAGAGTTTCAGTGTTCTCTCATCAATTATTTAACAGTACATTTCGTGATTGAATCCCCAGTGCATCAAGTTCACTGCCAGATACTTCTCTTGATGCCTCACAGATAAAACATTCCTCATCACCCATACCCGTCCCGAAATTCGGGAATGCATTTATTCAATAATTTAAATATCTGAATAATTCGCGAATGCACTGCGATCCGGTGCAATCCGTTATTCATGAAATATTCATCAACGCCAAAAAATCTGTTACTTAATGTTATTCGATTGATCAACTCCACAGCATTGCTGGCACACATTCCATGCCATATACTGTCAATCCTGTCAATCCTGTGGATTAAAAAACAAATCTGACTTTAAATTTCCCTCCGATATAATAACGCAATAAAAAATCCCGTGAGAACAGTTTCTATCATGAGCACCCAGAGCCTAGCCCAATAAACTCGAGATCTCATTGATAAAATAATGAACACGTTTTCATTTCAATTTTCATATAATTGGAAATAGAATCGCGCGCCAGGACACGTAACTGTACAACCAATCAATGCCCAGGGAGTTGACCCTGAGGGGAATCCCTCAACTTCCACCACAAAGTTAATCCAATTTACTGAAAAGAAGAGGAAAAAAGACGAAAATGTAAATGGTGGGATTTTAATTCCCAAACCACGTGTGAGTGACATTGGAATAAATGTTGGAGAGGCCAGTGTCACTGACTCTCCAGTATTTACCTTATATAATAGCAGTATTATGTCATCTATGGTCACGAAGAACGGTTGATTCTCGTGGAATGTAATTCAGTGTCATAACATAGAGGAGATAATGCAACTTTCATCTCTCTTTTATATCTCCTTTTATCTTGGCACGCATTTACTCGGTTGAATATCCTTGTAACGCTGTTGGGGGGCTTTTCTCAATGACGTAGACAATCCCCAGAGCCAATGCACTCGATTCTACAATAAGTTGTAAAGCGACTTAATCGAATGGATTGATCGTGACCGGTGATACCATGAATTCCTCTGGGTTATTTTTTTATTTCTCTCATTTTTTTTTTCTCTTCCCTCGTTTTCCATCGATTCAAACATCTGGATTGCAGCCAACTAGGACAAATGGAGTTACCGTTTTGACTCAGTCATGATTCGATCGAATATTCAGAATTATGCAGGAATTTAAGATTGAGGAAGTGTTGATACAAGGTCAATGCGTGTTAAAAATAGTAATGATCTATTATCATACGTTTGATAGCTAATAAAAATTCTTGGTGGTGGTTTTTCCGTTTTTTCAGGGTACATGGCAGAGGTACAGCTCAGGTTGGATGGATTTTGTCGAGCGGTTTGAGATCATTGGTGGTGATATTGGCGATAACCCAGGGTGAGCCTATACTTTTAATTACGATGCCATTATACCTGGGGGTTCTTCCATTACCCTTGCAACGACTTGTTGATACATATCTCAGGAGCGTGTCCACTGGGACATGCTATTGCCAGGGTGTGATGTCCGATGATGTTCGGGAGACGAATATAAAGAGTGCATTCAACTATTTTTACACAAAGCAACTAGAAGTGCAAGTGGAATCTTAGTGCGGATGTTGTTGCCGTCAAACTGGTTCCACGAGGACATCCATGGTAACCTTCGATAGAGAGAGGGGACCCCTATGCAATTCTCTCTCAAAGACTTGCTCTCGGTTTAACGCCTCCTCGTATCATAATTTCTCGTAATTTCTTATCTGCAACATCGCATTCCTGATGTCCATTTGTTTGAGATATTCTATCACCGGGGGGATTAGATTGCAAATGACTTGTTTCCACTCGGGGATTAAATTCATGTCTTATTTAATGATGTTTTTCAAATGAATCCCCCGGTTAATCAGCATTTAGTATGCCTCTTAATAGGCCACGAAATCGATTATCACGCGGTTGAAAAATAAAGGACTGATCGCGTGTTTTCCAGGAAATTCAGCATCACACCAGCAACAACAGAGTGGATTTGAGTGTAAAATCGAGGGATATCACGAGGATCCAACGAGCTGCAGTATTTATTACAGATGTGTCAATTGGGGTAATTCAAGTCCTCTCACTAAATTTAAATTTGAATGCGGTCCCGGCACTGTTTTCTCACACGCCAGAGGCGATGTGTGTGTACATCCACGTGAGAGCGAGAGAAATGAGTGCAGCGAATCGGCAAATGATCTTGACTCACCACCAGACAAACCCTCGTCCAATGAACAAACAGGCCCACCTGCTGCGTATCCAGATTATCCGAGCTATGGATCACCATTACCAGGTACTCCATCAAGTGGATTGTCATCGACGACAACCAGTGCATTTGAATCAACAACCACCGCCAATTCCCTTTCCAATTATCCAGGAAGTGTTCATGGCCCGAGTAATGGGAAAAACGTGTGTCACCAGGAGGGTTTTAAACCCGATGAGAAAGACTGTCGTAAATTCATTAGATGCGTTAACAACGGGGCTGGTGGTTATCATAGCTATGAATTTACGTGCGGCGATGGTACAGTGTGGGATCCATCGATAGAGGCGTGTAATCACGCGTGGGCGGTGTCTAGAAGTAATTGCAGTGAATCCTCCAACGGTGTTACTAGCGTGGGCGGTGGAGATGAGGGATCTAATGAGCAGAGTGGATATCCCGGGTCGTTGAGTGAGTCTGGAGGTAATGGTGGAGAGGAGTCCGAGTCGAATGAAGTGCCGCATCCCCCAGGGGGCTATCCACAGGGTACTGAGGTGTCAACTCCACCGATCGAGCCGGTTTCCTATCCCCAGTATCCTAATCAGGGCTATCCTCAGAATTTACCCAGTACATCTGGACCAAATCCTCCAGAGCAACCAGCTCTCTATCCACCGCCTTCACCTGGATATCCGTCGATTCATCCTGACGAAAAACCAACTGATAGACCTAGTGAGGGAGAGGGCAGCTCTCCCGATTCATTTTATCCTCCTCCGTATCCTGGAGTCTCTTCTACGTCTGAATCTACATCATTTCCATCATCTCCATCCGAATCTCCCGCACCCGTTCAAACGGAATCCCCGATCGAAGGTACTCCATCGAGACCTCCAGGTGAACTTTATCCACCACCCGTTCGGCCCCCTGGAGAAGGGACTGGTGCGTCGGGTCTAGGTAAACCAATACCGGATGCCACAGGATCGTGTAAAGAGGAGGGATTTTTCCCTCATACAAGTGACTGTAAAAAATTTTACAGATGTGTTGAGGACGAGGGTTCATTCCAGAAGTACGAATTTACGTGTGGCGAGGGTACAGCTTGGGATCAAGGCCTTTTGACTTGTAATCACGAATACGCAGTACCTGGTTGTGGTGGAAGTGAGAGACCTGGTGGCAGCGATGCACAGAGTACACCGTCGAGTTCATCGAACGAAGTGACTTCTGAACCTGATGGCACTCAACAGGTCACGTCTGTGGGTGTTAACATTACTTCTTCGGAGGGCACGACTGAATCAAGTGGTACAACTGTTAGTGATCAGACTTCGGGTTCTAATACGGCAACACCGGTGGTGGGTACGACTGAGGGGGAGAAAGAGGTAGATGTAACATCGGAGAGACCGACGTCTGAGACTACATCCTCGGGAAGTACTATACCTTCAGAGGGTCCTTCTGAAACTTCTTCCGGTGATGGAACGACGTCGATCACCTCTTCGTCATCTACAGATGTTTCAGCGACAACTGCTAAACCCATCGAATCTTCGACAGATGGGACGTCGGGCGCTACTCCTGGAAAACCTTCTTCGGGTTCTTCGGGATCTTCGGGATCTTCAGGATCCTGCGAAGCCGAAGGATTCTTCGCCGACCCCAAAGATTGCCACAAGTTCTATCGATGCGTCTCTTTCGATCACTCATCCAAATCATACACTAAATTCACGTTCGACTGTGGTCCTGGCACAGCCTGGGATCAAAATCTTCAGACCTGTAATTATGAGAATCAGGTTGAAAGCTGTGGGACATTGGGTGAAGGTAAACCGAGTAGTGAAAGCCCTGACGAGTCGATGAACGAGATTGATTCGACTTCGAAACCGTCGGCACCTTCAGATAGCACAACACTCTCTTCTACTTCGGTAGGAGCTACAGGGTCTTCAGAAGGTGCAACTCCATCGTCGGAAACTGACGGGACTACACAAGTTACTACGGAATCTTCAGAGGGTATGACCACCTCATCTTCGGAGACTGAGGCCACTCCAGTGCCAGTAGCCACCACAGAAACTACGGAATCCACGACGACGTCCTCAGAGACGGAGGGGACTACCGCGTCGGAGATGACGGAAAGTATTCCGGATATCAGTTCGGAAGCAACAACGGCGGCAGGATCGACAGGATCGACAGATTCGTCGACAACCGAAGAGGATAAAGATACAAGCACTCCATCAGACATCGAGAGTACCACAGCATCCGACAGATCTACAACGTCTGTAGCAGAGTCATCCTCTCCTTCTGGAGCAACATCAGGTTCTCAATCTCCTTCAATCCCATTCAAATGCACCGACGAAGGATTCTTCCCCGATCCCTCGGACTGCCACAAATTTATTCGATGTGTAAAAGTGAACAATGGCTTCATAAAATACCAGTTCGATTGCGGTCCAGGTACTGCCTGGGATCAGAACCTTCAGACCTGTAATTATGAGGCCCAAGTGGAGTCATGCCAACCTGGTGCAACTCCTGGAAGTGGAAGTAGCACTTCAGCGACAGAATCTTCCGGTGGGGGAACTACGCCCTCATCTCCTGAGAGTTCGGAAACGACAGACACGCCCACAACTCCTGGAGATCAATCAACGATTCCTGAAGGGACTACCGGAGACTCAGGAACTGAATCGACGACTCCAGGTGGTGAAAGTGAGACAACCACGGCCAGCGGTGGAGGAACGACGAGTAGTGAAGAGACGACAACTACTGAATCTGCAGGAAATACTGAAGGGACGAGTGCTACCGAGGGCCCGGAGACGACAGACACCACTCCAGCCATTCCACCAGGTGCCCTACCATGTGCTACAGATGGTTTAACTGACGAACAGATCGTTCTAGTCTGTCCCACAGGATTCCGAAGGCATCCCAAATTTTGCAACATGTTTTATCAGTGCACCAGTGACGGAAATATGCAAATAAAAATATCAGTGCTGGCATGCCCGGAGGGACTGATCTTCGATGAGCAGAAGGTGCAATGCCTCGCTGAGGGGGAGACAGATCAAAAATGCATGAGCCCTACCAGTTCTAGATTTTATAGACAACTGGAGGACAATTCGTTATCACCTGTGAGTCATTAATGCTTAATGGTCAAATCTACAGATCTATCTAAAAAATTTCTAATTAATCGAGTTTATATTCAAGTACTTATTAAAAATCAAAAAGACAAATAAAAATTATGAGGAATTGCCAGTTGCACGTGTCACTCACAAACATATTTATTCGTGTTTTTAGGTACGAGTCACAAGAAGCACCCTCTGTCCCGATGAAGGCCATTATCCATACCAGGAAGGCTGCAGCAATGCATTCTACAAGTGTAAGAGGAATACCAGGAATTCTCTGCAGGGATACCTATACAAATGTCCAAAAGACTTCGTCTACTGGTCGGTATCCCGACGATGCGAGAGGTCGAGTCGTTTGCCAATGTGTTCCCAAGTTAATTACGAAAGTAACGAGAGACGACACGCCTGGGAAAGCAGATCGAATTTGCCAATTGAAGAATTCAACATATCAGCTAGGAGTCTCAAGATTTAATGAGACACTGAGCAACACCCATTGCGTGTCGTTTATTTTTTACTGTCCACATTAGTTTAGTTATTTGAATCTCCGTACGATTTTACTCGAGTGATTAATTCACTCGAGTGTTACTTAACGAAACGAAAGAAAAAATCGTACGAGACATTCGGGATATTAGTCTGGTTGTGGGGAGTTGTTTCATTAATTCCGGTAGTTGTGTTCAATCGTATCATCGCTATACGATCATCGAAATAAGAAAGGAAAAGGGGTGGGGAGATGTGTATACACACACAAATCATTAACTACTTGTCATTAAATGTATATATTTTTTTTAATCATTCGTGTAAGCCCCATTTGATCGACTGCATTGACAGTATCAAATGAAAATGATAAATTACAATTGGAATAGATTAATATTTCGTAATCATCATCGATAGATTTATGTGGGTCTCGAAGGCTCGTACTGTCTGCATCACAACCATTCAATAAATTAAAATGCATTAGAGAATATATTATTTTAATATACATGATTTACTCATTTTACTCATTTTGAGGAAACAACAACTGAAACAACAGGTGAAGAAATCGAATACAACATCGGCATTGATGTCTGACTCTGGCCAACAGAATTATTTGTGATGCATTCTACTATGAAAAATATTATCAACAGAAAATATAATTTATAATGTGACCCCAGGTATTTATCAACGATAAAAATATCTATTAAATTTGTCATTTGATTATTTTAATTGTGTGATTATCATATAAAAATGCTGCAGAATAATAAATCAACGGTGAATAACACTTGAAGATAATTTTGAGAAAGAGTTGTTCGGAATATTTTGTTCAATTATTAATCAAATAAACAGCAATGAATCGATCTAACTCTGTTATTACTATTGGATAAAATATTCAGTAATTTATAGAATCAGGAGGATTAACAGTTTGTTGATTAAACATTTACGTATCCTTAATTTCACACGTCGCTGGAGTATTTTTTTACAATTACAATTCTGATGGTTTCGATTCATCGTGTCTTCGCACATTTGTTCAAAATTTTTTTATTTCATGTGCTCACTATACACTTTTACTTACACAGCTTCGCGTTGCGTGCGGCGATATATACTTGATGTTGACGACGGTGTACTTCAATTCACTTGCCACTGAAAACGAATAACAAGTGATATTGATGAAGAGATATGACTCATGCGATAAGAAAGATGATAATTAATTTTCGTTTATGACATGTTTGAAGTTAAAAGGTTGTACCTTTAGCCCAGTTTCCGTGTCCACATTTGATATCTCACTTTCGAGTTTCTCTCGCCTATCAGTTTGTTCTTGTTGACGTTTCACTGCATTTATATCGCCGATTCCTCGTCTTTCCTGCTCCTGAGCTCTCTTCTCAGCTGCTGCTACTTGTTGCTGTCTTCTGGTTTCCTAAAAAATATATTCATCATCCGTTCATAATTAACAGCACCTCATCCTTGAAAATCAAATAATCACGACCGAAAAATCAATAATTAAGAATGAACTATTAACTTGAAGAATTATTCAACGAAAAATAAAATGTCGCTCATGACTTTTTTTTGTCGGAAAATGGATTGGATCGAGATTAAGTCATGGAGACAGAATGGAAATGCGTAAATTACGCAGAAAAATAGATGTAATGGAATCATTGATTATTACTGGATCGGGTGTGAGGTCCTCGTAGGTCGACTGATCCTTGCAGCACGATGTGCATACTTCCAAAATATTTCCCATTCTCCTTACGAATCGCGAAATTAATCAATCCTTTTTTTCCCAAGTCCTCAGTCCTTCTGTCACTTGTAAAACGTAAACACGTCACAGGTTAATTGCACTGGGTCTATTTACGCCGGGGCTTGAGTTGTTCTCAGCCAGACTAGTTCACCTTCTTCAATGGAAACAAAAAATTAGGCTTATGATTGGATGAAAACGAAGCGTTACTTGCACTCATGTGACAGAAAAACATAAAACCAACACGTCCTCATGACAGTTTATGTTTACTTCATGCTCCAAATTTTCCCAGTGAATTTTTATGTAAATCAATCAAATTAATTCTATTTCGGAAATGATTTTTACCCTTTGATAAACTTGCAGATCACGTCACAGGTTAATTGATAATATTTCAGCATATGAAAAACATTTTATCCTTCAATTATTGTAATGTCAACAAAATGCCTCCATTTTTCATTGGCAGAAGAAGGAACTTTTGGCCACCTATTGCAGTCTCTTTTCAGTACCATCAGCTGATGGAATAAAGTGGAAGGTGGAAGGGGTGGAAGCCTAGGAGAAAAGGAAGTGTTTGTTGTGCTAAGTGGATTTACCATTACGAGTACCACAAACGAGAATAAACTAAACGAGATGTCCACCAAAGTGAGAACGAAACAAGACAAGAGTGGAGGTACGTTTTGATAGTTTTTTATTGATTTTGAGACTTTGAGATTGTGTACTTTGAGTAAATCGATAGTATGAATTAATGCAGGTTATGATACACAAAGTGCATATTGCTGCAATATTAATTAACGTTAAATCACGTTGATGAGGTATTTATGATGTTTTTTTTTGGGTCAGATGTAATTGCCTACAGCGAGGGGGCTGTCAGGAACAATGCAGCTGTTGTGGAATATTGTAGGATATCCATGGCAGCGATGTCAGGAGGAACTGCTGGATTACTCGGCCTCACGGGTCTTTATGGATTTGGATTCTATGTTTTTGCTGTTTTTGCTTTATGGGTAAGTAGGAGGAAAGTTGATTGAACCAGTGAAATTATTAATACAATAATTATATTATTTTTCCATTTGTCTCAGGCTCTATTATTATTCAAAGCTGGAGGTCAGTGGAAGAAATATTTCATTAGTAGACACAGCCTTTTGACGAATGGATTTTTCGGAGGACTTTTCGTATCCTTTTATTTATCAAAATTAGTCTGTAAGGGAAAATCGGGGTAACATGAATTTTTGAGGCCAAGTGACAATCTGGGAATTGAGGTTCTCCGGAATTTTAAATAAGTCAGTCTTTTCATGGTATTATCCTTAATATCTTTTTATTCATATCGTGTTGCAGACATATGTGCTCTTCTGGACGTTTTTATACGGAATGGTACATGTCTATTAAAGTTTCAGCATCATAGGATTTCGTACTTGGAAACTGCATTTTTACGAATCAAATTCATCACTATCACTCGTTAGTAACCTATATTATTCTCTTCACATTCTTGATTTCAATACTTAACATTCGATTAAGTGTGGATAATGATTTAATAAACCAAATCTATTGATAATTCGTATAATAATTGCGTTGAGTGTATTGACTCAGTGAAACTGTACATTTTTATTTAACTCGTTTGTACTTGAAATGCTCCTATCCATTTATTTTCCTGGGTATTTTCAGTGATAGTATTATCGTCTGGCAGTTTCTGGAATTTTTTTTTTAGATGGATGACTAATATGTAATGAAATGTGAGAAGGGAAATATTCTAAGCGGTCTAAACTTTGCTCTCAGATATTTTCATATCACACGAGTCCTCGTTCTCGGTGTGACACGACTGCAGATTATCGTCGTGTATGACAGATTCCAAACATTCCAATTTTCTCTCCTCGTCCATTTTTTCGAGTTCGTGTTTGCTGAGGTGGTATACTACACCTGCACCAAAGCCATCTCCGAGAACATTGACCGATGTTCTCAAACGATCTCTGAAAGGGCAGTGTATCGAGATTAAACGTTGTCAATCTAGTATTCTAGTTCTGTTAAAATAAAAATTGCTTACAATAACCAGTCAACAGCGAACAATAATGGAATATCGTTGGTGGGAAGACCAAGAGCTGTTAATACTAGTAGCATCGTCACCAATGCAGCACTTGGAATACTCGCTGCTCCAATACTCGCCAAAGTGGCAGTAATACTTTGAAAAAATCATAACAACAATAAAAATCTCTGACTTACGATAAAATTATTTTTTTAATCAAGTGAAGAGATGAATATTTACCTGACAGTAATCACATCTCCCATCTCTAGATGAATTCCATTCATCTGAGCAATAAAAATAGAAGCAACTGCTTCATAAAGCGCTGTTCCATCCATATTAACTGTAGCTCCGATGGCAACAGCAAATCTCGTGACTCGAGAGTCAATTCCATTGTTCTCCTCGAGGCATCGAAATGTAATGGGCATAATTGCTGCGCTGTAATAATTCAGAGTGAATCCTCAAAATTTTAAGATTTTTCTCACTGTGGGAATTACCTGGAGGCAGTGGCACCTGCTGCAAGCCACGCTGGAATCATTCCGCGGAAATAAGTTAGGGGATTTCGGCGAGTAATAATCCAAAATATCAAGGGAAGTGTCACCATTCCGTGAATGAGAAGACCCACGATTACTGTCACCATGTAGAGGCCCAACATCTTCGCAGTTATTACTAAGTTCGATATCGACATTATTTTTCCAGCTATTAAACTCATTATTCCAATTGGTGCGTACCTTACCACGAAAAAAAAAAAATTGTTTTGCGATTTTGAGAAATTGTGCTGTACAGGCAATAATTAGATTATCAGTTGAGAATTAATTTTACCACATAATGATGAGGCTGAGAATTTTCATAACAATTTCGTTAAGAGCCTCGAAGAAATCCACCATCACTTGGGCCTTCTGCCCCATCTGACCCAATAATAAACCAAATGTAATAGAAAACATTATCATCCCCATGACATTCGTTCCATCCTTGTAAACAAGTTGATGTTCCATTATATATTCAGTTTTATTTTCCTGTCCCAAGGATGCGAAGACAGGGGTTTTAACGTAGGATGATTGCACTTGCTGTAGGCAAGCTTGAACTAAATTTTCGGGAATCAAATTTCTGTCGATTGAAAAAGAATAATTTATTTAGAGAGGCATAATTTTTTTTGCAGCTTGAAAAGAGATTTATTTAGCGATTTATTACCTTATAATATCGAGCATTGCGTCCATTGTCGACATACGTTGATCCAAGGAATTGTTCTGACGAGAGATAACAGAAGTCATGCTCTTGATTCTAGGATCTCCAGGATGAATAATCATGACTACAGCTATTCCTAGGATCGCAGCTAACACTGTTGTTCCCAGATAATAGCATAAGGCTCTGCAGCCCATTCTTCCTGAACTTTTAGCGTCTAATTTAGCCATCCCTATTTTGAATGGAAGATAAATTGTAGATTGAAAATTAATTAATTGTCCAAAAACAACGCGCAAAACGAAGTATTACCGGTAATTAACGAGGAAATGATGAGTGGCAATATAAACATCTTCAGCAGTCGCATGAGAATTTCTCCGGGAAAACTAATTAACATGATATTTCCGTCTGAGAAATTTCCGAGACGTCCCAGAAATCCAAAACCAAATCCAGTAATAACTCCAACAACCGTTAGAACTAGTAATAAATTTTTCGTCATCCATTCTTCAATCTTCATAAGTGCTCTCCGGGGATGACTTTTCACAGGATTGGTTTCGTTCTCCACTGCTGTTTTCTCGGAGGTACCGATATTAATCCTGTTTAAAATATTCTTTTACTTTACAACAATCGGCTGACAGATTTATGCAGAACTTAAAAATCTGGATGCACGAATTCGTAATGTTCTTCTATACTTGAATTCTATACTTGAATTATTGAGAATTGAAATATGAAAAATAAAAAACTATCAAGTACTATTTTATTGACAATTGGAATGGGAATAAATATTATGATTTCCACACAAGGATGAGAATTTCGTGAAGGATTTATAAGTAATTGAGTCAATCTATCAATTAAATTACGATTCATCCGATTTAATTTCGAAGGGTCTGCCCCGGAGTACTGCGACAGCGCCAGAGATCCTCCGTCCCAAGGACCCGGACATTTCTTCTTCTTCAGAAGACGAATCTGAGGATGCTCTGGATCATCACCAACGACCGAGTGAAATTTCTCAAATTATTTCGCTGCGATCATTATCCAGAGATTATGCCAAATCACTTTCACTTGATTACGAATTACTTTACAATTGATTACAATGTAATTAGAGATTGATTAACTGAGGAAGAAATAACCTGAGGATTTTTAGATTGACGAGAGAGGTCCACGCACGAGGCACTTTGACACTACTTTGAGTGTCAAACAAATGAGATTCACAATCAGGCTGCTGATCTGCCTCATCCAGGAAGCCCGAAGAGGGGGACGGGTGGAATAGACCCACGACGAGATGAAGAGGAGGGATACCACAGGAAGAGGTCATTCATGAACATCTCAATCCGCTGGGGTCGAACTTTCGTTTAATATTCAATGAAATTACTAAATTCTTATCCACGAAATAAGTTTCAGTTTTTTTGCCTGCGGTTATTTCAAAATTTCATCCCTTCTCGGTCTCTTCATCCAGGAATTTTCTTGTGAATTGATAATACAACGGCTGCAAGAATCTTGTCATGGAAGGGCTTCAAGGACAACTTTAATTCACGTATGAAATTGAATTTTCATTGCTCTATATTCAACTCATCATTGAAGATGGGATTTGGTGTTGGTTTCGATTATTCTGTCATTTCCACGTGTCATCCATTCATTTTGTATATCTGTAGTTTAGTTATGAGGGCGATGAAGATTAATTTTTGTAGACAGCGGGCGCTGATACAATTGAATGATTATTCAATCTATTACTCGTTGGTCATTTTACGAGACATTACGTTAAAAAATATGATGACAAGTCCATGGACTTAATTGAGGCAATGACTAATGGTGAAAAACCATTCATGTCATTTACTGAGCTACTCCAGAAAATTTTCACTAGGAATTTATTTCATTGACATGCGAGAATAAGTCCTATAAAAATAGTGACGACCACCAAAAAATAAGTCAATGTTATTAAAGCTTGGCCCCCTTCCCCGTGTGTGGCCAAGCGGATGTGACCCCATATGACCTCGATTAAACACTTATATGAGCATTATGACCCTTTGACTATTATTAAAACTCTCGTAACCCTCGGTTTCTGATTGTTCATTATAGAGTCTCAATTGCAGACACGCAGTATTTACCAACAGAAATAAATTATGATCTTCAAGACAGAGCGACAGATTCTACTGGTAAAAAAGTTGAAAGAAAAGGTATTTAGCATCTCCCAAAATTTTGAGTTTTCCCGTTTTATTAATTTTCCCCCATTCGTCCGTTAAATCAAGTATAAATAGTAAAGAATAGACAATACAGAGAGAGTCGTTGAGAAAAATTATACAAGATAATTCATATTTAATGAATATATTCAACTATCCTGTATGGAACATGATAAAATTTAAAGATACTATAGTCAGCGCACTGTGCACGTGATTCAACGTGTATATGCCGAACTGTTGAAGTAATACATTGGAAATGAAGTAAAATTTTTCTACCCAAACTCAGTGTTTGTTGTATCATCGTTATCATTTCTTGTTTTTATTCATAAACGAGAGCTCCAGTGGCCCACGATAAGTTCACTCGGTGAAAGCTGGTGATTAATCGTGGACAAGAGTAGGTTAAATTCGTTTTCAAGATCTGGAATTTATTTGTCATCAATGAAAAATAACTCTTCTTTGACGAAAAATTCTACTTCCTCCTCCTCGACGTTCTTAGTATCAGAGTCTAGGGTATCCGTATCGATATTATTACGTAATTCGAGGCGACGTTTCTTCTGTGCATTCCACTCTTCGACACGCTTGTCACGAAATTCGTTGAATTCTTTCATCAACTGGCAACGCTTCTCAATTAATTCCTGAAAATAAATGAAAATTGTGGATATTAGAGGAAAAATAGAATCGTGTGTATTTTTCAATACGAAGGAGAGATGTTAGATGGAAAATGAATTTCCTGCTGACCTTAGAGGCTCTAGTGAGCCGCATGCGATCCTTGCTCTCAAACTGCGCGGAATACTTCTTCAAATTCTTCTTCAGCTCCTTGATCTGTTCGGGAGACAATAGAGTGGGTGGACGTGGTCTCCACAACAGTTGATTAAAGGCATTGAGATTGACTCTCTTCAAAATTCTTCCCTGGAAAGTCCAGATCCAGTACCCATTATCAACAGTCGTTTTCCAACTGGAAACAGCTGTAACGACGTATCTTCCAGTTGGATCCCACTCGACGTCAGACGTTTGGTAATGATCAGTTGAATTCATAATGGTGAAGTCATTGGTGTCAATGAACTCCAGAGCACCAGCCATGGTGGTGAGTCCAGCCAGTACGATAAATTGACCAGCTGGAGACCAGAATAAGTGATTGCAAGCTTTCTTCTCGAGTTTCTTGAGTAGAGCTGGTTGATGACCGAATCTCACTTCATAAAAGCTGACGTTGACACTTGGAATTTCTCCATGGATAATGGCAAATTTGCAGCCAACGGGCTCCCAAGCGAATGCATGAATGGGTTCCTTCATCTCAACACTGTCCACTGGAATTTGCTTCTCTCTCATGTGGAAAATCTCGAAATTATAGGACATTCCCGTGTACTTCTGCTCCGTCTTCTCCTTCTTCTTGGCGAAACGATCGACCTTGACACAGAGATAATCACCAGATTTTTGCCAAAAGATTTTACAGTCCGCAACGTTGAATAAATTCTTATTACGAATTTCATTTCTGTTGGGAATTTCGAGGAGTGTTACACGAGCTGGAACATTCTTGTCCTCTGGGACCCAGTATGCCAGGACGTTGTCAGTGGGGGACCAACTGAAGTCTCTGATGCCTGGAGTTTTTATACTCTTTTTGTCTAGGAGACCGAACGAGGGGGTTTCATAGACACTCAAGACATCTTCACCCATACACGCCAGGTATTTATCATCGTGAGACCACCGGAATATCGGCCAGACTGAGGAGACATCGGGGTAGAACGATCGTTTTTCGTGGCCAGTGAGGATATCCCAGATAACTAGACGCTTGGCATCTGGGGAGTTGTCCATTCTTGGAGTGAATGATACGAGATATTTTTCACAGGGAGAAAAGTCAATGCACTCGACTCCTCTTTGACTGAAACGAGCCTGTTGGGTGTAATCAGGGCCTCCCCATAGGGCTACACCGAGCTTGTGGAAAGTGGCAAGGTAAGTACCAGATGGCGACCATTTAACGTAGGTCTCCGTCCATCTATTGCGTTCTGCCATGAGTTCTGGTTCAGGTGCTGAATTCTTCCAAATCTGAACGGAAACTGCACTCCCATTGCCATGCAGTACGCAAAACTGATCATACGCATCAGGTTCCAGCAGATACGAATGCAAATCCTTCGCGGCTTTGTATGGTTGGGGTTTCGGTGGTTCCCATTCAAGAGGAATATCCTCGTATTTCTTGAAGTCCGTGAATAAATTGACTTTGAACGTATGTTGCTTGTCAATTTTATAGTTGTTCGTAGACTTAACGGCGGTCGCAGCATTCACTGGGTTGTTGTATTCCAGGAAGAAGTAGCTGGTGATAATAATTAATAAATGAATATTGTTGTCATCTTTCGTATTAATTAAAAATCATACCGCGAGTAATACAAACCCTTTAGTGTTTCCATTCTCGTTCTTCGGGTAAAATCTATTGACAATGGTACCAAATTTTCCGAAGACTTTAGTTACAACAAGATTGAATCTCTCCAATCTTTCAGGCTCAACCTGCGGGGCACCATCGACTATTATGAGAGAGTCGATTCCGTCAGTCTCCGAGGGCTTCTGGGCCAGTAAATCACCCAGGAGTTCTAAATTGTGGACAAAATGCGGGTTAAAATACACCGAAATTGGTAACAAAATTGGAAAATATGGAGAATAATTTCCATTAGGTTATCCACACGGGGAAGTATGGCTGACCATGCCCGGCCCATCCTGCCATGCTGGTGCTCCAGCCGTTCTACTCACCCGTGTCTGAAACATCATCCACGAAATCCTCGGGATCGCTAAAATCCGGTGCTTCGTCGTCGTTCAATCCCTCATCGTTATTTTTCACTGAATCTTCATTCTGATTACTTTTATCTAACACTGTTTTTTTCGCCATGTTATCTGAACAATCACGGTCCGGCTGTGACGATTTGACGAATTCCTAACCATGTACCATTAAAAATCCACGCTTGGAGTTTGTGACTCGGAGACGGTCGGAGGCGCATGCCCTGTTTTTACCTTCAAAATGGTCGCCTTTTGCGGCGCAATCGGCGCAATTTTTTAACACTAGCGCCGCCATTTATGAAATTCCGTAATGAGGATTGACTGAAGTACTGCACCCCAAGAGAGGGAGGGCGCAACACGAAATGCTGGGGTGTTTATCAAGTCGACGGGGTGAATTTTATTTTCTGCGATATGAAATCTTTTTTTTTTTATTTGTTTAACTGAAATTTAGCCGGCTGTTGAACAAGCGGAAGGGGGAAGCCACATCTTGTGGAATTTTAAAGGAAAAAATTATTCAATATGTTGAAGATATACCACTAATAAAATTAAATTTTTATAATAATGTGCGTTGTCCTATCGGTAACGTGCTCGGCTAGCACGCCGACGGCTGGGGTTCGATCCCGTTAACATTAATTTTTTTTTTTTAATAATTCCTAGTTTTTTTTTTTTGTAAATGGCTAATTAATGGAAATATCGTTTAAAAACTGAATATTTGAAAATCGAGAAGATATCTAGTGAAATTGAAAAATTAGCAATTTTTTAAAACGATACTTTTGCAAAATATATACTCCTAATGAAATTTTATTATTGTAATAGCGCGTTATCCTAGCGGTAACGTGCTTGGCTACTACGCCAAGGGCTGGAGTTCGATCCCGTCAACATTCATTTTTTTTTTTAAATAATTCCTATTTTCTTTTTGTAAA